ATGTACTGTAAGTTATTTTCTTCATTGATGAATTATGTATTGTAAGTTATTTTCTTCATTGATGAATTATGTACTGTAAGTTATTTTATTCATTGATGAATTATGTACTGTAAGTTATTTTATTCATTGATGAATTATGTACTGCAAGTTATTTTATTCATTGATGAATTATGTACTGCAAGTTATTTTATTCATTGATGAATTATGTACTGCAAGTTATTTTATTCATTGATGAATTATGTATTGTAAGTTATTTTTCATTGATGAATTATGTACTGTAAGTTATTTTCTTCATTGATGAATTATGTATTGTAAGTTACTTTATTCATTGATGAATTATGTAAGTCTGAAACTAGCTAATTCCAAAGTGGATGTTGAAACCACAACCAAGGAATTAATGTCGATAAAGGTGAAAATAAAATTTTATATCTTAAGTTCTGCAAACCGATCATATTACAACTAGTGTACTACATATCTAAAGTGGAACAATGTGTTAATACTTGGCACTGTTACCACACAAATATTTTAGACAATTAATATTTTACAAAAAACACAGCAAACTTCACTTCACCTGATTACTCTAACATTTCCAAATGTACTTAAAAAATAACTGACACTCAAAATTCAAATCAAATGTAGGATTGTTTACTTTTGTTTTAAATTCCTTGTTTAATAACTGAATTAAAAATAACACAAAACTATCTAAAGGGTCAAGATTAAAACAATATTTTAAAAATAGTTTGTTTCTTAGATGTTGACCATTTATATTTCTGCATTCTATTAAGCCTAACCTGTTTACTTTTTATCAGACTAATGTTTATCTAAAGGCAAAGATATCACTAATCACAGCCTAGGTAACAAACACCATTCAAGCACTGTCATGAGAAAAAGCGACTGTAATAAATGCATAAATTTTGAGGAAACTATTAAAGAAGGTCAACCATCAACTACTAAAAACAGGAGTTGTAATTCTTTACATACTGACATAACTGACCATCCACTAGAACAATACAAGGTCAACCATCAACTACAAAAAAATCTTACTCAACACGAGTTGTAATTCTTTACATACTGACCCTCCACGAGAACAATACAAGGTCAACCATCAACTACTAAAAACCTTACTCAACAGGAGTTGTAATTCTTTACATACTGACATAACTGACCATCCACGAGAACAATAAAAGGTCAACCATCAACTACTAAAAACCTTACTCAACAGGAGTTGTAATTCTTTATGTAACTAGAACTTACTAAACAAGTTGAGGGCTAATTTTTTCAGTTTTACAAGGTTTTAGTATCCAAATGTTTGAATTTCTAAAAGATTAATTTTTTAAAGTGTATAAAATTGAAAACGATGAGAGATACATTCTCTTCATCTAATGAACAGTTTTCAACATCTTAGGACAAACTTTTTAAAACATATTATTTAAAATTGCACTTAAACAGTTACACACTCAAAATAAATATTTTACAAGAATGCTCAGATTTTATTCCAAGAACTTTCGATTTAAATACAGGTAACGTTTCAAGTTGCTGAGGACACACAGAAACTACTTACAACAGGATATACACTATTCCTGAATACCACAAATGTCTATTTTGTTTTTGACAAATTCAATCTTTTCAATTCACAGAAAATCTCTCTAGAAACAGAAACTAGAAACAGAAGTCATGCAGTGCAGGTGGTCTAATTGGCAGCTCGTTGTTGCTGACCTTGCTTCTCATGAAACTCCGTAATTCTTGCCTCAATAATAGGCCTGAAATGTCGAATCAAACCCTGTGGAATATAGCACAAAGAGGATGTTACAGTTTGCTCTTCTATGATTCATTTTATTTTATAAAAGAGATTTTTTTGAAAAATATATTAAAAAGTGAAGTATAAGATAAGTAAAACAGTTTTCCCCTGATAAAGAAAGGTCCACCTTTTGAAAGTGGTTTGGGTCACTTGGTTTTGTATTCTTGTCTTTAATTGATTTTGGGATCTCAATGTTCTCCTAACATCATGGAACACAGTTCAATGTTATTTTTCTTGAATAAAAATAATGACAATAGAGATTTCTTGTAATAAAATTCTTTTAGCAAGATACTGGAAATATATTTTAAAAAAATATTTCAATTAAAGATATACAACAGGTTTTCCTTTCTCACATCTACAGTTCTAGAATAATCATTAAATTGACTGGATTTACATGGCACAAAAGTACATAATAATAACACTTCACAATGGAATAACTGTTGTATATCACCTTACACAGTACAGGAAGACAACACTGTCACTAAAGTAGGGGAAAATGTGTTGTATATCACCTTACACAGTACAGGAAGACAACACTGTCACTAAAGTAGGGGAAAATGTGTTGTATATCACCTTACACAGTACAGGAAGACAACACTGTCACTAAAGTAGGGGAAAATGTGTTGATTATCAAATTACACGATACAGAAAGACAGAAATCATGTGCTGCATGTCTCTTGATTAAGATGTTTACTAGAAATCTCACCCGAACAGGCCAGGCTGTACCATCACCGAAAGCACAGATTGTGTGTCCTTCTATCTGTTTACTAGAAATCTCACCTGATCAGGGCAGGCTATACCATCACTTAAAGCACAGATTGTGTGTCCTTCTATCTGTTTACTAGAAATCTCACCTGATCAGGGCAGGCTATACCATCACTTAAAGCACAGATTGTGTGTCCTTCTGTCAATTTACTAGAAATCTCACCTGAACAGGGCAGGCTGTACCATCACCTATAGCACATATTGTGTGTCCTTCTATCTATGTTTACTAGAAATCTCACCTGAACAGGCCAGGCTGCACCATCACCTAAAGCACAGATTGTGTGTCCTACTGTCAATTTACTAGAAATCTCACCTGAACAGGG